ACAGAAAATGTATGCTTGAGTTCATCTGTCATACGGGCTCCGATTGAAAGAAATAGAAAACAAAGCAAATACTCATAGAACGTAAGGTGTAACGTAACCATACAGTACAAGTAATAAGTGTCAGGTTATAATAGCCATGCTCTTAACTTACTTGAACATGATTAAGCGTTAGCTGGTAGCCAAACAGCTGATGAATAAGCCAGTTAATGTGAAGCATCAGCTGAAACCAAAGCATATGCTGCCCCTTTTCCAGGCCTGAACTAATGTAAGGCTCCATGTGAATGATCTAGGATACATACTGGGCTTTAACAGGCTAAAAGAAAATGTTGATCATACTAGATCTTTTGAGATGTACATGACAAATCAGTTCTATTGCATTTAAACAAATGGAGATCATTGCATTTTATAGTTGTTACTATTGACATCTGGACTCATATTACCAGTAAAGAAGTTATAATGTACCTCCACAAAGTTAGACTGGAATCCATTGCAAGCATTAGAGCTTTATTAGCCAAATGAGCCACCTCAGCCCTCTGATGAATACAGTGGGCCTAAATAATAAAATAAGCAGATGCTGATCCCTCAGAGCTTATGTGAAATCAGCTGCCTAGTCACTGTTCTGAGGGCGCTATGCCTTGTTAAAAAACACTCCATCAAAGTTTCCTTTGAAGTAATAGCTGACAGAAAACATAATGTGAATTTGACTTGACAGGTCCCTGAAAAAAATTGCTTGGGAAATACTGAGCAAGACTGTGGAAGGAGGGAACCGGGGTGAAGTCAGGTCTCACAGCTCTTTTGTGAAGTCACTGAAGTACAGAGTGCATTTCAATTAAGAAGTTGTCCATGGCTCTGTAAAACCATCAGAATGCATTAGTTTTATTAATTTCTTTATCTATGGCACTCATTGCTGTTTCACACATTTCCAAACTAAAGAATTTCATTTCCGTCATCAAATATGAAGACAGTCCTCTCATAGATTGTATGGAAATTGGAATTTAAACCCGTAGTATTGCCTCATCTCTCTCACCAGAACAAGGATCCTTTTAAAAAGGTTTCATTATAGATGACACGAGTTGTCTGCCATTTCATCACTGCTCTTGTCATTCCCTGTGCCACAGTAAATAATCAAGTGGCAGTGCTATGGAAAGGCTATTTCTTTTCTAACATATACAAGATAAAACTTTAAAACTCCCTTGTAAAAACTGAGTATTGATTATGCAGTCAAGAATTTACCGACTGTGGCTGAATGTGTAATGAGGTAAGCTGGGGAAGCAGCACTGCACTATCCTTGCATTAAGACACAACAATGCCACATTACCTGGAACAGTAATAATGTTGATGTTTTCTGATACTTAAGTGCCGATCTTTGTGTGTGTGTTTTATGGCTGTGCAGATGGCAAGGTTGGTTAGTCTGCCCAACACTTTGGTCCATATTGATTTACCTCAACAACCATAGTTTACCATGGCATTTTGTGCAGATTTTTACGATCCCTAGAAGATGCAACTTACTATTTTCTGTGATCTCCTGACTTTTCCTTAAGAGCCACCATAACATTGACATTTTAGTTTTTCAGTGAAATATCTAACTGTTTGATGGATTAGGATGAAACTCGGGACAGATATCCATGGTGCTGAGATGATGTTCCCTCACAGCTTTGGTGATCCTCTGACTAAGCCTGTGGCGCCACTGGCTGGTTGACATGTGTGGTTTTGACTGAAATATCTCAACAACAATATGATGATTTGCTGTGGAATTTGGTACAGACATGCTCCCAACAGGACAAATGATACTAACTTTGGTTGGCCTGTTCTTAATCTATCAAGTCGGAATTTCAAATTGTTTTTCCTATGACCAAGGTACAATCTGTAGACTCTTAGTCTTTTTGTTATAGCCTTTATGTGTCAAAATAATATTGTGACAAATTGTGACAAATGACACGTGGGGGCAAAAATTGTTTCTTGGAGGCATCATGATTATCTCTCAAAAGATTGGGATGGGAAATTCAAAATCCAATTCTCAACATCTTCATCATGTGTAACAATATTGTAAGAGCAGGCTGTATGTACCTTACAGCTGAATCAATTAGATGGTGAAACGTTAAGGAGGTAAAACATGCATCAGTGGGTCCGCACCAGTACTACACTAGCGTATGCTGCTGTACGCTGAGTAAGTTGAGTAAGTTGAGTCGACACACCATTTGACTATTTTTATAGCTGGCAGCGGCAAGACCGGTGTATATATTACCACGACCACATGCTCCATACAAACACAAGCAAGTCAAGAAGTATTGATGAGACAGAGAGCTGATATATGTCATTCAGTCTTACACAAAATCTTATTGGGAAGATTACTGTTCATACAGGTAAGCTACAATGGCCTTTTTCCTGTAGGTGGACATTGTTGTTTATTTTTTTAGTTGACATGGTTCCCGCCCTGGCTCACAGACTACACTCCATTTAAACAGCTTTCCTGACTGTTGCAGTTACGTGTTAAGCGGTACACTGGCACACTGAAATGGAGCGTAACCACTGTGTCATGTTTCATTCCTTTACGGCTGAACCAATTGCATGGTGAAACGTGATGGGTGTAAACATGCGTGTCATAGTCATATTCTAAGCTAGGCTACTTCTTGAATTTTGGTGAGGATGGTTGAGCATGAGCAACTGCAGATGGATACAATTCGACAGGCACCCCCTGGTTTATAATCAAGTATATGGAAATATTGTGACTGCTGTGAAATTAAAGGGGAAGGGACCTGAACATGAACCACGCTAGATGCAAGTAAATTCATCTTCTTTTTCTTTTCTTTTCTTTTCTTTTTTTTTTTTTTTTTTTTTGTTAAATTATGGATCATTGCTATATTTTAATAGTGGCAAGTAATCAAACTGTGAGAAAAAACAAAACCATGTATAAAAGTCAAGAATTTGCTGCATCAAGATGCATTGATAATTGTTTACCAGTCACATCATAGCCCCAACCCAATCATCACAACAAATGTTTGGCAGTGTACATTTCTGCAAACCACTGATACATTACATTTGTACATTATTATGTTGTGGATATGTTGACGTTTCAACAGCGCTGTGGTTAATGAGTGGTTCGGTTCAGGCAGTTCGATTGTTTGGGAAAAGATCGTGTTTTGGCTTAAAATACACAGTTTTGGGGGCACAGTCCCCACTGGGAACACATTGATGCATTGGTAAAAACAACTGCTTTTTGTGGCACTATCTTAGGTGGGTCAACTCGCATTAAGTGGCTAAAAAGCTACTGGAAACAAAGCAAGGGGTAGTTAGAAAACAACTGGTTTTGTTGTTTATTGGTCTTAAACAGTAGTCTGAAGCGTAGAGGGTGTCTCATCTTCTTGGCTGAAAGGTTTGATAGGTGGAATTTGAAAATACAGCATATTTTCTTCTCTACACAACACAACCTTATAGCTTTGCCCAGGATGTTGCAAATGTGATGCCTAGATGTTTTTATTTATACCTTGTGAGCACGTTCTCTTACCCTGGTCTGGGGTAAGACGTTTGACCCACCATTAACTGCACAGCTGGGCCCTGTGTCACTTGTACAATGTGTGGTCTAGGTCCACATAAAGCCTGTGGTGATGGTTGTTGCTCCTGCTGCTAGGCCTCCTCTGACTTTGACCAGTACACTTTTGCTTGATTTGTGCAGTTGCCTACTCCACCATAACCACCAGTTACTGGTAGCTTTCTCTGTCTGAACACAGGTGTGCCCAACTCAACCCACCTGGTTTAAGTCAAGCCTGGCCAAATTTGTCAACATAATCCTGGGTTTGATTTTGGTTGGGTTTGCACTAATTTCCCTTTTTCTACATAAATTAACAGACACTTAACTTTCACTTTCACTGTGTTTGGTGCTCTGCTGCTCCCTCTCCTCCAGCTCCCCAGACAGAGTGCCCAGAGCCTCTGCCACAGGTGCTCTGGATAACCAAATTGTATATTTCAACAGTGTGCTTTAGCACTTGGGAGTGCCTATGTACTAATGCACTCCATGTCACAAATGCCTGTTACCCCACTGAAATATTTTAGTTGTTATTAGTTATTTTAGTTGACTTGTATTGTCAATAATTCCAGTGGAAGTTTGGCTGTTTGATTGGGCTTGGGCCCAAAACTGCTGCCTTGGTTTGGGCTCAGGTTGAAACTATACAGGTTAATGAAGGGTTGGTCCTATTTTTCAGGCCTGATCAAAGCTCTAGTGACCAGTAATGAGTCAGATCCCTCGCCCTCTCCTTGTGTGCCGGCCCTCTGGTCTATTCTTACATGTGTCCTATTATGATGAACTAAAAATAGTTTTTATAACACACTGCTGTCACATTCCCTAATCTGAGTCCAGCTTTCTCTGATTAGAATGCACACTGCTGCACAGAGACTAACAATATAATGATGATCAGTTGATCTGAAGATTTTTATTTTTTTTTGATAACTCCATACAGTCTCCATTTTTTTAAAACCCAACGTTTTACATACTTCCTTGTTTGTCTGACCAACTCAACGCTGTCCAACATCCTACCATATTTTTACAATTGTAAAAGATAAACTGAAACCAACCTTGCTTACCTGATATATTTGTTTATTGATAGTTAGTTATTTTATTACTCTTAAGAAACTTTTGGATTGCATGAAATTTGTTTTTCACTTCCTGTGTTCTTTATTTGAACAGAGATAAAAGCCTGTACCATTGCTCCTTCTGTTGCCGCCTCCTGCTGTTATTTAGGCAGATAATATGACAATTTTACATGAAACATCTTGCCATGTGCTGCTTTACAGACTAAGCCCAGTGCTCACACAGGCTGCACTAATGGGAACAGAAATCTGACTGTTTACATTCTGTGGCACAGATGTTGTCGGGTCTGTTTACCTGTCCCATCTGGGATTAGTGTTAATGTGGCAGCTTCTCACAGTTTAGGCAGCTCTAAGGATGTAGTAAAAATCTGTAATTGCTTACATTAGTCATTTAAAAACACTTGTGCCTCCCACAGTGCCCTCCAGGGTTGAGTCCTATGAAGGATGGGACCGGGTGCTACGACCACCACATCGGCATCGACTGCTCTGATGGTTTCAATGGAGGATGTGAGCAGCTGTGTCTCCAGCAGCTGGCTCCTCTAGAGGATGACCCGACACTCTACAACATCCAGATGTTTTGTGGGTAAGCAATAACAGATTTACACTTTATATTTATGACTGTTAGTATTATATTTCATAACACACTTAAGGCTGAATACTGTCTTTTACATGGCATCTTGTCATGTGAAGGAAAGGTAATACCTGCACACTTAACTAATGCAACAAAAGTTTATTCGAGACAACGTTTCAGTCCTTCTTGGACCTTTGTCAGGTCAAAGTTTATGAAAAATTGAAGGCACACCTGTATTTACACATAATAGATACCAATGGGCTGACAAGCTCTGTGATGGCAGGTCTGGTTAACCATCGTATCCACCCAGATTGGAATAAATAAATTGGAATAAAACAAAATTGGTAAACAAAGGCCATACTACAAAATATCTAACATATATCTTCATTATATTAAAATTCATCATCCCATATATTAGTCTACATCACATAGGTTCAAAAATGTATTAAGTTAGAGGCCAAAAAAGAAGACATCTTAAATACATATATAGAAATTGGGTCTTAAATGGCTTTCTAAAACATAGCTAGGTCTAATTTAAATAAGGAAAAAAATCCTACTAAGGGAAAAAAATGGTATGACAAACCAATAGCAATCTCTACAGTATATTATTTTCTTGATTTGCAAATGGAGTATCTTGACTACTTGACACTTAATAGGCCATTTGAAATAATACATTTTGGAGTCATGACAAAAATGTCCCTAAAATTTCAACTGCAAAGTAAAACAGCTAACCTGTGCAATTAAATTCTTCAACATATAAATGCCCGAGGTTTTCTAAAGAGTCTTATTGTACAAGAACAAACAGCGTCTCCAACACAGTTTGGCATGTCTGGCGAGGCTGTCCACCACCTGCTAATGTTTGCTCACCTTTTTTTCTCTTATAACTTCAGATCCAGACATTCAGGAGGTTTTTAGCGGGAGCCAAATTAGCTGCAGAGGTCTCTTCCTCTCCAAAACAAATGGACACAGTGATTTAAACTGGTATAAACACCGATTAAAGGAACCTCACGTTACAAACCATTAAATTCGATGCTGCTCATTGCAGATTGGCTTCTAACTACTGTGGCTGACGTGAAAACGTGACTGGCCCTATGTGGAGCCAGTGTTTGTTTTGTCCTTTCCAGGCTCCTGTAGAAAGATGGCGGTGCAACATGCCGATCCCATAAACTAGGACCCGCTCCCAGGGGTGTGCCACATCATCTCATTCACAATAATACCACTATAATTATTGATATCATATGAATATTATATATATATATATTATATCGTGATATGCGTAATATTTCAAAAACGGGTGACACATTGACATCATACTGTTACCCACGGCAACAACAAGCATGGCTGAAAGCAAAATTAGAACTGACTCCACAGTGGTTCCAAAAAGAGGAGCAGCTTCAGTAGTGAAGAATAAACTGTGGCGTGGTTAGGCCTTGGCATCCTTAATGTTGTATGAACAGCCCCGGACTTTTCAGTCTTCTAGCGACTTTCCGCGACTTACCCTCCCTGCAGAGGGAACTTACTGAGCAACTTTGCCAGCAGCAGCACAGCATTTCTCCCTCTCCTTTCTTGCCGTGCACACACGGGAGTCGGTGTTGTCAAGTGATTTTGTCATAAACCTTTGGTAATGTAAACCAAGTGACACTCACGGCTCTACAAAAAACCTACATGTATGTGAATGAGCAATAATTACTGTAGCACAATAGCCTGTCACAGGTTACAGTGTGATGATTAGAGGAGAAATGGTAGAGCATAAAGGATTGTCAGCAACTGGGGTACCAGAAGCTCAAAACAAGAGTCAGTAGCAACAGCAAAAAAAGCTGTTTAGCATTGGCAGAGAAGATTTGGCAAATTTTTCATGGGTGCAACCCACATACTCAGCTCTGCTGCTCATCCCACAAATACATGTTCTTTACAAATGTGGCACCATTTACAAGGGAAATAAACAGGCTTTCCAACAGTATAAGATTTATTGCCAAGAAGCATTGTTACAACAAAGAAATAATCTACCAAACACAAATTTCCTTACTTTTTGTGCTTAGTTTATTTAAGCTCTAATACATCTCTCCCTTTATTGCATTCACAATTATTGCTACTAACTCTGGAATTAATGGCTGGTCCACTCATGAACTGTAGTCACTTGGAATGTGTCAATTGTACACACATCACTCATGGTCTAAATGTGTTTCCTCTTACTAGCTAATTGCATAAAAACATGGAATGGTGTAAAACAATGTAAAACACAATAACACCAGTGACACAACAAAAGCACAAATAAAATGAGATTTATGTCCATGTCTCTTTCAAAATTCTATACTAAAACAATATGTAGGATTTTTTTTGCAAGTCGAAAACAGCTCAGTGCGACCAAAAAGATTTTATACTGTTTTTGTTTTTTGTTTTTTTTTTAGCTCTAAGGGGTTGTGATCTGGTGGCTATGAAGGCCATAGTATGTGATGCAAATCTCTCATCAAACCACTCAGTAAGCCCTGGTGCCCTGTGGGCGCCCTCTGAACCCTCTTTGAAGGCACTTATATCTTTTTTCTCGGCATCTTCAGTGACATTTCATATACAATATATGCTTCATTTGTAATGCAGATCAATGCCTGAATTTCTCAAGAGTCTTAGCACAGCAACATATAACTAAGGCGTTTCAATGGTACTTCCAGCCAGTACAGGAGTGACCCTTAAAGAATTATCCATTAAAGACCAGAGTCTGGTGCTTCGTGTGTGCTATATTAACAACCTGCTCACATCCAGTAGTGCAATTCAATCCTGACATCCATATATATATTGTGGAGGTAGATTTTACATTTTCTCACTAAATTTGCTTGGTTAGGGCAGAGCCGAGCTCAAACTTGCCTGTTTAAACCAAATAAAAAATGCATCAGTGTCACACTAGTTTGAACAAAACAAACAGACTATTAGTTAGAGAGCACCCTTAATGGAGTTTGTAGAGTAAGGGAGCAATTTTGTGGTGGTTGGTCCTCTTGGTGGCAGCTGACAGGCGTGGAATCTTTGACTATACATCGTCCTTGTGCAGCTCCCCTTTCTGTCCTAAACCCCTTAAATTAAGTCCAGTCCTGACCAAAGATTCACAATGAGACGAGTTGAAACAGGCAGCTACTTGCAATGCACCATCCTGTAACGGTTACATGCTGTCATTCCGACATCCCACCATTCCGACATAACACTGTTCCAACATAATGCCATTCCGACATACCCCTATTGCAACATGCAAAAATCCCACCATTCCGACAAGGCTTTCCATATAAGGAAATGTGCGTTACTCAACAGGTGACTCCCTTCTTTCTGTTCATGCATTTTTCATGTTTTAAGACGTGTACAGATGTGATACAGTCAGTGAAAGCTTAATTAATAAACACAAAGTCTCGGCATCCGAAGGAGGAGATGCCTTGAACGGGAAGCAGGACGTGGTGGTTTTCAATCACACACTCCGACGCCGTTTGTTGCAACTATCCAGGAAAAAAAGGCTTACAAACATGGACCAAAATGGCTCTATAATACGCACAAAAATCCAAAAGAAACGAAAGTTAACTAAAAAAGCAACTAAACAGCATAAGCGGTCAAAATTGGTGTTTTACGCATGCCTCTGTGCGTCTGGCACACGCGTCTTAGGGCTCTCCCACGTTGGTTTGTGGATGAAAGCTGTATGTTCAGCTCCCTTTACATGTAAAAAAAATCTCTACATGACATTTTGGTCGGCGAAATCCACAGACAAGACGTCTGTTGTCCATGCTTGCAATCAATACGCATGGATCTTTCACACCGCCACTATCCACGCAGATTTCCAAATGTATAAACATCCACGGCAGTAGCAGCGCCAGGATTTTGATTGTGGGTGGGCCTCCAGAAAACTGGATGGGCCAGTTAAAATAAGCAAAAAACGGGTTCCCCTTTATCTCCGTTTCAGCGCTTTTCTGCGGCATTGAGGACAGCGACGCTGGTGCACCGGTGTGGCTCCCTTGTGTCGCTGTTCTCAGCTCAGTGCTGAAGTGGACAATGACATACACCTTAGAAGTAGAACTAACTTCATATCTTTATTGAACGTTCCCAGCACACAAAAAAGACTGAAACGGAATTATATCTTTAGAGGGTCTTCTCCATTTATTCATAAAACACAACACGACATGCGTATTTGTGTCGGCATATCATCAGTGCAAAATCTTTTGGGTAAAAAAATAGGTCATTAAAGGAATTGTCGGAAAGGCAGGATGTTTAAAAAAAAAAAAGAAATTCCATCATTCCGACCATAGGAGAAAAAAATTGTCGGAATGATGGGACATTTGATGGAAAATTAAGTGTTGCCATTTAGACAATTAGAGGCCCATGTCGGAGAGGTGGGATGTCGGAATGGACGTTGCCCACCTCCTGCCTGTAAGATTTTGAAAACCTGCCTGTTCACACCAACGCAACTAGATGAGATGGTGCATCAATTCTATGCAACGATTCTTTGTGCAGCTGTTCTGATTTCCAGCTTTTCAGGCTTATTTTATGACTAAATATAAATCGTAGCTTCTTAAAAAATGAATGAGGGCAGTGATAGCGAGATACTGGCTACACTTGCATTTGTAGTAAAAACGAGCATTAAATAGACTGTATTCATAATCAATATGCCACAATAATATAGATAACCAGCAGCAACCCACCCCACTGTTTGACTGTGAGGATGGAAACAGAGGGCATGGTGGGGATGGAGCATCTGCCTCAGCAAGCAAACACGCCATCTGCGGTCGTTTTGACTTGACCAGCAAACTTCACTACAGGCTGATTGGCTGTAGAAACAGGTGACATCCTTGACGTTCTAAAACCAGCCAGCAATTTGACCAGCTGAGTTGCAGGTGACACCATCAGCCGGCTTGAGTTGAGCTCCAGCTTTTGCATCTTTGCAACTTTTGTCAGCATCGTTCTAAAGCGGTTTCATGTCATCGTGAATCATTTGTCTGAACTGGGCTTTAGATGACCACACGTTCATACAGTAACCCAGTGTTTCC